AAAAATACTGCCGGGTCTTTAAGGTACCACAAGAGAGCCAGGGTAGTGTAGTGGTTAAGAGTGCTGAACTAGGACTTGGGACATCCAGGTTCAAATCCCACTCATGCCATGGAAGCTCGCTGGGTGACCTTGGGCCAGTCATGCACTCTCAGTCTAACCTACCTCACAGGGCTGTTGTGAAGATGAAATGGAGAGGAGAACGATGCAAGCCGCTTTGGGTCTCCATTGGGGAGAAAGGCAGGGTACGAATGAATTAAATAAAGAAGACTCCTGCTTGGTTCTATGTAAACCAAAACCAATCCGTATTTGAGCGTGAACTAGACCTGGGCTAATCAATCACCTCACACTAAGTAAAGAACACTTAAAAGAAAGAGGGGGAAAATGAAAGTGGGAAGAGGAAGCATGCCTTCTACTCCCTCACATAGATAAAAAGTGAAAGCTAGGGAGGAAAGGAAAAAAAGAAGAGAATAAGATAAAGTTAAAAGAGCCAAACAAAAAAGCTACCACACATTGAATAAAATTAAGACAAAGATCAAAGCCCCAGCAGTGAAGCACAGCCCTCACACGTCCGGCTTCCACCACACCAGAAACCAGAAGTCATGTTTACTTTGTGCTATGGCAAAACACTGTCAGGATAATCAGCTGGTTATTAACTACAGCAAATCAAAGATCCTGGTCTTTCAGAACGGGAGACACACAGAAAAATCAGTCAGTTTTGGATAAGCAATGGACACTTGAGAGACGAGAACTCATACTGTTATGTCAGGTACCACCTTACATCTTCCAATACTTGGCCTACTCATCTTAATCATGTCTTGAAAGGAATGAAAGTTCACTTAGTTGCCATTCTGAGAATCTTTTTCAGTAGGGGGGTCAGTCAATTCCAATGACAGCGAAGGTTTACTGTGCAAAAATTCTCTCCTTCCTGTTACATGGAGTGCCTATTTGGATCTCTGCGGCCTTACATTACCTGGAAAGTGTGCAAGCTTCCTTCCTGTGCACACTTCTGTAGGCTCCCAAGTGTATTTCAAATTCTAATTTATTACTGAAAACAGGCTGTAGTCAAATTTCTCTTATGGCCTGGCCATCTGCAATAAAATTTAAACTCTTCCTGGTAGAATGTAAGTCCTCACCTGAGCTTTTAAAATGTACTCAGTTTGATTCTCATACATCATCCTGGGATAAAATAATGGTGGATAAGGTGCTGGGTCTAGGGTTTAATCAGAGCCCCTCCCCTATTGATGTCCCAGAAGTTAGAAAGATTAGATCAGGACATTATTAATTTAGATGCCAAGAGACACAGTTTTCCCTTTTCTAGGGCCTTTCAGTCCCTCTTTTTCCTGTTTTGTCACATTACCTTTTTAATGGTCCCACTTTTTCACCAACTATTCTTCCTGGCTAGAACAAATGCTTTACCAATCACAGAATTGTTAGGTCGCTGAGAAGATATTAGCCTCCCACAGAGACTCTTCCATTGCAGCTGTAACTAAAACTTTATCCTGTTTCCTATTTAGTTGTCACCTGTACTCTACTAGAAGAGTCAGTTTCATACCTGCCTTTATTGAACATGTTTTCTTGCTGCTTGCATGATTTCCACTTACCGTATCTTTGGGCTGGCAATGACAGGACTGTAACTTTGGCTACAACACAGGTTGTATTTCTTGCTCATAGAATTAGGCAGACACACATTAAAAATAATAACCCTGGGCATAAGCACTAGTGGGACTATAGATTCTATTTGTTTCACCAAGGTGCCTTGGGGCACACAGGCATTCTGATTTTGGCACAGAAACATGAATACTGTTTAGCACCACTTCCAGATGAGAGGATGATGGTGCTCTCCTTCATAACAACAAAAAAGTCACGCTGCATTTTTTTTTAAAGCCCAACTTTTTTTGGTTTAGTTATAATTTTCTTTCCTCCCCATTGGGGGCAAAAAGACCTTACATCCCCATCCTCTCCTCCTCCATCCTATCCTTACAACAACCACACTGTGAAGTAAGTTAGGCTGAAGAAGGCCATTTCACTGAGCTTCTGTGGCAAAGAAAGGATTCAAATCTGGCTGTCCCAGATTATAGACCTACAGTATCCTTCTCCTCAATCAACTAAGTTTCTAGAAGCATAAGAACAAAGTGTGAGTCCAAAGGCACCTTTAAGATCAACAAAGTTTTATTCAAAGTATTCGTGTGCAAGCGCACTTCATCAGCCACAATGAAATGAAATCTCCTCAAGCCCCACTTACAGGAAAAAAGAGGGTGGGAAGGCAGCTGTTAAGAAGGACCAGTCACAGCCAAGATGCATAAGTAGGGTTGAAATTGGATCAGGTGGCCGGTAAGATCAATGAACGGCAGGAAATTAGCAAATAATTCTTATGCATCTTGGCTGCAACTGGCCCTTCCTAACAGCTGCCTCCCCACCCTCTTCTTTCCTGCAATAATATATCCCTATGTATTATTGGAATGTTATTTACAATTTCTTATCATAGTTTTATCTGAAACTTTTAACGATTTTGGGCAATGACCATGGTACATTTTATCCTGTGTTTCATGCGGGTGTAATACCATAATAAAGGACTCTGACTTTGGATAAAACTTTGTTGGTCTTAAAGGTGCCACTGGACTCAAACTCTGTTCTGCTGCTTGCTTCAGGCCAGCACGCCTACCCCGCCTGAATCTTCCTAGAAGCCCGTGTGTGTGTGTGCGCGTGTGTCAACAAACAACTGACGCCCACGTAACAAGCATGCCTGTCAAGAGGCTCTCCATCGTCACGTGACCCCCTCCCACCTGCAGCGGCGGCCCCAGGCTGACCGGAGAACAAGCGCCGCCGCCCGCTTCCCACTACCAACCAGTTCGGCGCGTCGCTCTCGGTCCGCTCTCCCAGCGTCCAGCTCCGAGGACTTTCCCGGCGGCCGAGAGGCTCCTTCATCGCTGCTGCGAGAGCGCCTTGGCTGTCCTGCTCCGCCAGAAGGGAAGCCGCCGGCTGAGGTTCGGCCGACCAAGAGTTCCGAGCTACGCTCGCGCACGCGCAGTAACCGCCGGTGGCTCCCGCACGGCGAAGAGGGGGGAGAGGGCGCCGCGAGGCCGGCCAACGAGGAGGCCGCGAGCGACGCTCGAGAGCGGCTGTTGCTGCGGCGCGCGACGATGGCCGCGGCCCCTGCCGCCGCTACGGTGGCCGCGACGGGCCGTGCCGGGCTGGCGCTCCTCAGGACGCTCCACTTGCAGGCGGCGCCTCTGCACAGCCAAGCCGCGGTCAGCATGACTCGGTGAGGCGGACGGCCTCCTTGCCCGCGGGGAAAGGGCTTGAGGAAGGGGCGGAAGCCGCAGGCCCCTCCTCTTCCTCGCCTGCTCCCTCCGCGCCGGTGGCCGCTACCTCACCTTCCTCCATTCAACTAAGCCGCAGCTCTTGCTCGCTCTCGGCTTACCACCTTGGCAACACACTACGTGGCCTTTACGACGTCGCCCGCTTTGCTTTACGGCGACACGCCTCCCATCCTCCCCTTCTCTCCGTTAACGGGGCAGATGATGGCCACCGCCCCTGTCCAACGGAGCCTTTTTGAAGAGGGGGAGCAAAGCTATCCTTCCTAAATTGAAGCGGCTTTTGGCTGAAACCAGAGGCACTGAGGCAACTGGGTGTGAGAAGGCACTGCTACAAGGACCATAGTGGCGCTCACCTTGCCAGCCAAGGGGTAGGCAGGTGTTGCAAACAAGGGTAGGAGGCAGGTGACAAGGGGATGCATTTTTGGTTTGAATGAAGGTGGATGCTGCTTATCTTAAGACCCAGCACATTTTGGAAAGTTATCTATAATTCACTACAATGTAATTTTATAATTGGGTTAATGCATCAATATCAGTAACCACCAATAACACTCATAAAATGGGACTGGTTAAAAGTCAGATCTACACCACTATTATTGGATCTGTGTAGAGTATGGTTCAGTCCACGGTCCTGGGTTTGACATGTGATTTGATAGTGGGTTTGAAGGAGTTCCATTTAAAAAGCTGCAGGACCCATGTAGATCTGGCATTTACTTTTTACTGTATTGACTTATTGTCAAGCTTATGTTTTGGATGAACAAAGAAGGATAAAAATGCACAGGGGGAATGATTTGTGGTAAATGCAGAAGGTGTGATTGAGCAGCCATATCTTGTCAACACGGGCAAGCTGATTTTATAAGAATCTTTTAAAGTATCAGTGAAGTGTTTTACCGGAGGCAGAAGTAAGGCCAGTAAATATATCCCACCCTTCTACCCAGTGGGGCGCCAAAATAGCTTATATCATTCTCCATTTTATCCTTACACCTACATTAGGCTGAGAGTGTGTGACTGGCCCCAAGGTCACCCTGCAAGCTGCCACTAAACCACGCTAAACTTTCTAACCGTTATAACAATATTAGTACTCCTTTGTCCAGTTTAAGAGATGTATAATTTGCAGCCTAGTTGGTGATGTAACCTGGACCACCTCAGTTTTAAACCCTAAATTAAGCTAAAATAAGTTACTTCTGAGCAGACTGAGAAGGTAGAGAGGGATTATCTACTATAAACACCATGGCCTGTAATAGCATCACATTTGGGGGAACTGTTTATCAGAAATTGTTTACAAATGCCAAATGTTTCCTAACTTAAGGACTTTTTTTTACAGAATGCTCAGCTATATATTCCTTAAATTCATTGCTTATTTTGAAAAGTGGAAATAGTTTGTGTCTTGTTGATGGGATTGCACAGCTCAATCTGAAAGTGTTGCTACATAGCCCCCTCCCCTTGCTATATCAAAATGTAAAGAAAAAGAGTAAAATGCATTACTAACAGAAGAAAAAAGGGCCCGTGCCATTTTGATCCCTATGGGGAGAAAAGTGTGTGTGTATCATTTTAAATAATTACATATTCAGATTGACTGCAGCCCTTATGAGCGCATGCCCTAGCCAATGTTCCCTCTAAGCTGCAGAGCCTTGTGAGCAAAAATGCTACTTTGTGAGCTACTGGCATTAAAGTTGTGAGCGGGCGATTTGAGTAATGCATAAATTAGTTTGCTCTGGAGCCATCCTTCCTGAGCAAACACAAAAATGTGTGAGCTGGAGGCTAAAAACCTGTGAGCTAGCTCACACTAACTCAGCTTAGAGGGAACACTGGCCCTAGCATCTTGATATGCAAGGCATTTGGCACCTACAGAGAACTTTAGCTACCATCCAGACCCACCTAAAGCAATTTGAAGGAATTGTTAATTTACCTTCAGAGAAGTGCATACATATGAAGCACTCTCTGCTTGTGGTAGCAGCTATTCCCTAACCTCCTCTCGTCCAGCTGGGAGGCAGGCCAAGCCACCACAGAGAGGAATATAACAGATACTACCTGCTGCTGTCCTCCACAAACATATGCCATACAACTAAGCCCAGCAGTCCTCTTGGCACAGTATTATACAGGTTATGTCTGTGCTTTCTTCACATGCACACGGGTGAAAGTTTGGCTTACCATGTTACGGTGCAACACACAAAGTAAACTTTTGAAACTGAACAAGAGTTTTGCTTTAATTTTAAATAATCCAACATTATACATGTTAAAGTTGGCACTGCAGTTTTATACAACTAAAACATTAATCCACAGAGCTATGAACATCTACAAAGAGTGATTTTTTTTTTCCAGTTTAAGAACTGAAACTTCCCAATAATGTGAACTGTGGTTTTTTTCCTATTTAAGAGAGGCAGAACAAAGTTGTTTAAACATAATGAAACACTTTGAACAGTGTCAACACGAAAAAATTTTAAACACTAAATTTATATTAGTCTCTCAAAAATGTTACAAAATAGTATTAAGAAGCTGCTACTGGTAACTCAATTTCAAGACATTTTAACAACAGGTTGCTTTAGGAGAGGGCCATGAACAAGCCATGGGTTTCTGTGCTCTCTCCTCCCCCACTCACATGTGGCTTCCTTGTCCATTTTGTGTTTAATGTTAGCCATCCTTTATCCAAGACAGCGAATTACTGTTAACACTAGAACTGGAAAATAGAGAAAATCCACACAAGAGAAAGAAGGAGTTGTATGAGTTGACATAGCCTTCCAGCCCCCTGCAAAAACTGCACTTTAGTAGTCTCTGTACTCACTGTGTACAATTGTGCAACTCAGGATACACACAGTGTTCCTGGAAGTAACAATCTGTAAAATTATCTTGAACTTCAGCCAAGACGGTAACTTTGATTGCCTGTAATCATCCTTACCGCAATACAGTGTTCTGCTGGATACGTTCCTTCACATAGTCTGAAGCTGATATAATCTTGGACCTTTTTTCAAGAAATAACCCTGATCGTTTAAAGATCCAATAAAATTTTCAAAATCAGCTACCTGGAAGAAGGAAAAAAACCCACACTGTCATCTAGGCAAACAAATATGTGATACATGGAATGTAAACGTATGGTATAAGGTTTCAAAAAATTTACAGCAGGGAAGTTTCAAAGGTAGTTAGTGTTATGGCATTGTGGAATGCTACTTGAAGGAGTGGGGGTGGGGGGGAGGAATTGAGAATAAGCAATGGCATGCTTCTGCCCAGCAGAAAATAGCTCTTGATGTCTTTGTGGAACTCTTCCACAGAGGAGGCAGGCAGCTTTAACATATGTTGTCAGAACTGCATAAAAGGTCACACCAAGTACTGCATTCTGGGGAACACAGCATCTGTCTTTAGTCTTTTTAATAAATTTGGAACATTTCAATTCCTCAGTAATGTCCTCTTCAGTAAAGCAAAAACCTAACTACATATTGGTATTATGTAAAGTGAGACAGAATAAACTATTGTCATATTTTATGCTATGCATTACTGATCCAATTGTTAACGACAACACAGTGAAATATTTGCAGAAAACCACATTAGAATGTGCAGAAAAAGGTAGATTAAAAATAGGAGGATATTATTTAAATTGAGATGTCAGATTTCCCAAGAAGGAAGAATGCAAACAAAAAAACTCATAGGCATACAATCTGGGGGTGCTGATGAAAAACTACACATGAGTAAGGCAGGCAACTTCAGTGTACATTTTTTTCAATGTATACGTTTGATCCCACTGAGCAGTGGAAGTAGAGAGACGGGAATAATTTTTTCCAATTAACTTTTACATCTTTTTTACAGTTGATAATGCTGATAAATGTTATTCTTGCCAAACACATGTTTTTAGCTTCCAATTTACCTTTATGTTTGCCTCCTTCGCAATTTGCCGTAGCTGCTGAAACTCAAAGACATTGTTGTAGGTTCTTTCTGCAATTCGGTGGAGGGCAGAAACAAATCTCTTTGCTTGTGACCTGTTGCTCATACCAGAGCCATGCTGAGAACGTTCAAAATCCAACCTCCCAAACTCATCAGAGTAAGTTCCTAACATGCTTGAGACCGAAGAAAACCAAACAAACAACAGTTTGCAATTCCAATTACTATTTAAAAGCTACTAAAGCAGTGATCCTCCCTTGAACTCTTTTCAGCTTATATCAGTCTGCAAATGATAACACTGCAAGAAGATCTTTTGCAAATATCAGGACTTCTGACAACTCAATGATTCTAAATGTTAACAGAACAAATATGACCAGAAGTGGGCCACATTACTTATTTGTGGATGTTCATTGTCTTTCCTTTAGTGGTCAAAGTATGCCCTGCTAATGGAAGATTCCTTGTACCACAGGAAGGCTCCACCATTAGTGGAACAGAACTTTTGACCCAACCCCCTCATCACTTTTGGCTGACCATCTCTACTAGCTAATAAATTTGTTTTCATGACAAACAGTTCAAACTATTCAAGACATGTTCACTCTAATTGTGGGGCTCCACATATACATGGAGCTCTGAGTAAATAAGGACAATCATCTGGGGATGTATGCAGCTCACCAAAGGGAATGAGGGCACATGGAGCCCTATCGGGCCCCATCAAGTTTTGGTTTTATCCCAATCGCATTTTATCTACTGTACTTCTTCACCCAAAGAGTGATTGACACATGGAATTCACGGCCTCAGGTGGTGGTGGCTACAAGCATGGACAGCTTCAAGAGGGAATTAGATAAGCATATGGAGCAGAAGTCCATCAGTGGCTATTAGCCACAAGGTA